GTGTGTGTGTGTGTGTGCGCGCGCATTTTTGTTTGTCCGTTCTTAATACTGGGGTGGGAGTGGATTTTGAAAAGAGAAAAAATTAAAAAGCAAACCCTGATAAACTTCCTTGAGCTCTAGAAAACTGCCTCCCAGAATGGAACCTGGCATGCAGTTACCCCCACGCGTGGCTCTCCATCTGGAGAAGTAAGGTTTTGCCTTATTTGGGTTGTCACCGCTTCCGACACAGGCCCACCTCATTGGGCTCCCCCACCCACCCACCTGCCCCTTTCTAAACACATACATGCACTTCGCTTATTTCTCTAAATCAGGGGTCCGCTGAGCTAAGGATGATTTTGACGTTTCAAAGTGGGTCGGAGAGAAAGCTGAAAGAATATTTGGTAGCACATGAGAATGGTATGAGGTTGAACTATCCGCTTCCATACGAAAGATGGCCCTGGAACACAGCCACCCACTCATTTAAACATCTTCTATGGCTGCTTCTGCACTCCAGAGGCAGAATTGAGTCCATGCCACAAAGTCTAACCCTTGACCGAAAAGTGTGCCCAGCCCTGTTCTAAATCATCGAGCGTACGTTGGACTCAGGGCACTTGCATTTGATGTTCTCCTAGCTCTCTCTTGGCTGGCTCCTTCTCATCACTGCTTTTAACTCACAAGACATCTTAGTGACGCTTCGTCTCCGTGACCACCTCATCTAACAGGACCCCCAACACCCACTTGTCAGCATCTATTTAAGACAGGTGGCAAGAGGCACTCTCCCTCCAGGTGAACAGGACCTCGTGCCAGGACACTGGGCAGTGAATCAAAACAATGTGTCCCTCCCCTAAAGGAGACCACTTGAGAAGCAGAAGGGCAGCCAGTGCTGGCCAAACTGAACAGTAAACTTTCCTTCTGGAAAACGGAGCCAGGGGTTTTCACCGCTCATAGTTCACACAGTGCTGAACCTGCATTTTCAAAATCTGTCCATGAGTTTAAGTGAGTTCTCCCTGTTCTCAACCTTTGGGGCTATGTAGTTTATGGATTCCAATCCTTTGGTAGAAGTCTCCATCTTTTCATCTGCTTTCTCTCTCATTTTCCCCCCTTGAACATATCAATTATGATTCTTTCCAAGCCCTTGTCTGATATGAATACTTAGTTCACCAGCAGGTCTGTTTCTACAGACTGGTTTTCTCAGTGTGTTTGACTTGTGGTGCTGGAGAAGAATATGGAAGTACTATGGACTTCCTAAAAGGGCAAACAGATTGGAAGAAGTAAGGCCAGAGGAAAAGATGGCAAGACTTCATGTTTGGTCAAGTGGAAGGGCAGTGAAAGAGGAAGGCCCTCAATGAGATGGATGGACACCGTGGCTGCATCAATGGGCTCAGGCTTAGGAACAGTTGTGAGGATGAAGCAGGGCCGGGCAGTGTTTCCTTTTGTTGTGCAAAAGGTCGCTATGGGTTGGAGCCCACTCAATGGCACCTAACAACAACAACACAACAGACATAACAAATGAAGAAGAAACATGCAGACGCTCCCAGTAACATTATCTAACTCTGGAGAGGGCTCGCTCTTTCCTTTACAAGACGGATGGCATGGGAATAGACAGATCACCTCCATCCAAGAAGGGCTGAGCTGGATGGAAGCTGGGTTGTAATTATGGTATGGCACCACCTAGTTCTGCCCTCCACCTCTAAGGCTTTGCCTTGCAGAAATGCCAACTGAAAATCTTGGGCATTGGCTGAGGCCTCTCTCCCTGGTCTTGAACTCTAACTACCTTGTTAGTTACCTTTGTAGAATGGCAATACTGTTGAGTCCCCTGCTGGGAGCTTTCTACTTGCCTTCTTGGCTGCTCCTGCTCTGCACAACTTTAGGTTTGGGTGAATGTCTTGCATGGTTAGGCTCACTTTCCCATCTTTCTTCTCTTTCTGGGGTCTTGGCTCTTTGAGGCTGCCCAAAGTTCTGCTGGCTTCTCGGGTCTCTAGAATAGCTCTATGGCCTGGGAAGCACCTGGATTCTCCATCTCTTTGCCTGTGCCCCAAATTCCAAGTGTCCCCAAGAAAAGCATGGCTGCAGGATATCAGGATGTGCCCCCTCCATGGTATCTTGGGTCCTCTTGTCCTCGTTGCTTCAGCGACTCTTTGGAGCCTTTAGGCAGATGGATGGTGATGACTATTCTTTGCTCGAAGTAGATAGCGTTGAAATGATGGCTGTGGCTCACAGGCTGATTGGAGGGCTCCATTGGATAGCGCATCGCATGGTTTCACCATCTGAGATAGTTTATTGTGCCAGCCTGGCCGATAAACACAAGTGGGATTAACTGAAGGGCAGAGAAATAAATGCCTTGGTGAGTCTCGCCTTTCTTGTCTCTCGCTCTTTGATCATCGGACCAGTGTGCGGCTGCCTTGCTTGTCCTGTGCCTCAATTTAAAGGCTACACTACCTGTGGGACGCCTAGCCTGTGGACTGTGTCGCTGTAAGTTGAGGTCCCTTTAAGACATCGCTGGAGCTGGGGACTGGCAGTTGGTAACCTGCCTTCTGATTGGCTGCTGTGCTGACATAGCCTAGCTCTCTCTATAAATAGAGGAAGATCTGGCAGCAGATGAGACTGGAAGGACTGCTAGTCTCTTACATTCCTCTCACGGCAGTGAGCTGAATTGAGCCTTTGTAGTGCTTTATAATTTAACTGTTTCTTTCTTGTATTATATATTTAACTGTATATGATTTAACAGTTCATTCCTTGTTATATATCTAATTATCTTTATAAATAAATATATTAAATTATCAACAACTGTATGGTTTTCAGGAAAGGTGTGCATCAGCCATGGAAATCTATTTCTCAGAAATAAGCCACTGAAAATCTTATAGGACACAGTGTTACCCTGATACACATGGAGTCATCATGAGTTAGGGTCATCATGAATCAGGGCCACCTCAACAACAGTTGGTGGTGGCATCTCCCTATGCTGGTTGGACACATATCTCTAGCGACCCACCCCCACCCCCATTCCTCTCGAGATGGAATTCTCAGAAGGTTCATCATTGATGTGTAGTTCTAAGTTGCAATTTCCCCACAGCCTGGACCCTTATCTTTTGGGACTCAGACCCTTGACCCCTCCAGGATGGCCTCACCCATGCTTGACAACTGTGGATTTCAGACGCTCTTTTCTAACCCCAATGAGCCCTGGTGGCATAACAGGCAACAAGACGGGCTGCTAACTGAAAGGTCAGCAGTTCGAATGCACCAGTTGCTCCGTGGGAGAAATAGGAGGCTTTCTGCTCCCTAATCAACTCAATGGCAGTGTATTGGTTTGGGTTGGTATCCTAACTCCAGAAAATTAAAATGGGATCACTTAAAATGCTGTTTTTCATGTTTTATCCCATATTCTAAGAGTGGGTATTACAGAAAATTTCATTGTGCTCACGTGGAACCTGTATATAGACTAAAAGTCATCCGTTTAAATAGACTACTGGGACAGTGTTTTGTAAAAAATCAAGAAAGGTATGCAACACGGTTGCACATACTTATTTCACATCCTTATTCAGTCCGTCTACTAAGCAAATACGAAGGAGAGAGAGGCATCAGGGTGGGCAACCAGTGAGATGCAGAGGCCACACCTTGCTTGCTGAAAGTGAAGCGGACTTGCAGCGCTTATCAATGAAGATC